TTCTGTAATGTTATGGCAACAATGTGGCTTCCGAATTTTAGCAGGGAGAAAATTTTAAATGGGTCTTATGTCCAAAATTTATTAGGTGCTACACTCCTATCAGCTTCTCTGGCTATTATTATTATTATTTTTATTAGAGAGAGAGAGCATGAAGGGGCCCGCGTTGGGCTCCATCTTGGGTGTGGAGCCTGCTTGAGATTCTCTCCTCCCTCCCCGTGGCTTGTATGCACACGCACACACATTCTCTCTCTCTAAAAGAAGAAGAAGAAGAAGAAGAAGAAGAAAGAGAGGGCGAAGTAAGAGTCTCTGGCAGGACTGGGCTCCTGCAGGGTTCGATCTCATGACCTGGAGAGCATGACCTGAGCCGAAACCAAGAGTTGGATGCCCAACTGACTGAGCCACCCACACGACCCTCACCCTCTCTTGGAAAGACAGTGCCCCAATTGCAATTCCCAATCCCCCACAAAAGGAGGAAAGCTTTCTGACTATTGGACCTGTCACCAGAAGCTCTGATCTGTTCACAATGTCAGAGACCCCCTGGTCTTACCTTTAACCAATTTCTTTGTAGTCCCAAATGCCACTGTAGATGACACCTGCAAGCCTATAGATGTTACCTATCCAGTTAGGCTATTATGGCCGGCATTCCCATACTTGTTTCAGCCTTTCCCTAGTTGTAACCATACTAGCTTAGTTAAATCCCTCCATCTTTGCCATTGTACAATCCCACATTCTTTTCCTTATGTAAGTGTGATCTGTCTCCCTGCACCCGAGGCAAATACAAACAAGTTTATGCCTCTTTGCAAAGTTTCTAGAAAAGACCCTTTAATGAAGGAATGGCCTCTCACAGGATGTCATCCCAACTCCTCCAATCCCTGGCTTGAAAAGGCCAATCAGGAAATTCCAGCTAATAAATCTATCAATATCCAGACCTTACCTGGAGTCCCCCGTGCACCACCTGGTTTCATTTTTGTTTACAGGGGACAGCATTTCCCATGGGCATAGGAATGCTTAGACAGTTGGCAGCTTGGAAGTCAATGTTTATTGTTTACTGTTAACTTTCATCACAAACCAGAGGCCTCCGCCAGCCTGCCCCTTTAGGCCTCCACGGCTCTCTTAACCAGGAACTTCAGGGGGCATACATGACTCCTGGTTTACCTCTGTAGGGAGGCTTTTCCCCTCGGGTCGGAGTAAGTGCCAGTGAACACATGATCAGAAATCTCTCCCTAACATTAGGAGAGGTAGGTGACTCCACAGCCAAAGCAAGACAGCCCAACAACGACCACGTGACTTGTTGGCTAAAGGAGTTTTGGACAGGGGCGCCTGGGTGCCGCAGTCAGTTAAGTGTCTGCCTTCTGCTCAGCTCATGATCTCAGGGTCCTGGGATTGAGCCCCGCGTCCTGTCAGGCTCCCTGCTCAGCGGGGATCCTGCTTCTCTCTCTGCCCCTCCCTCCTGCTCTGCTCTCTCTCTCTCAAATAAATAAATAAAGGAGTTTTGGACAATCTACTTGCTGGACAAGGAGGCATTTGTGTGGTAGGAAATACCACCTGTTGCACCTGGATAAATACCTCTGGAGAAACAGAAACCCACTTACACAAGATCAGGGAACAAGAGCACTAACGACAATGAATTTCACCTAATGACCCCTAGTCTTTTGATCTATTTAGCTGGTTACCTTCAGGTTTGAGCTCCTGGTTTAGAACTGTCATACTGGATTTGTCATATTATTTTTAATTCTGCCTTTTTTTAAAAAAAAGATTTTATTTATTTATTTGAGAGAGAGAGAGAGGAGAGAGCACAAGCAGGGAGAGCAGCAGAGGGAGGGGGAGCAGCAGAGGGAGAGGACGAAGCAGGCTCCCCGCTGAGCAGGGAGCCCAATGTGGGGCTCGATCCCAGGACCCTGGGATCATGACCTGAGCCGAAGGCAGACGCTTAACGACTGAGCCACCCAGGCGCCCCAAGATAGAGATTTTAGATGCTAAGTGCTGAGGTCTCCCTCCTACCCTTTCTTGTCATTCACACATGGCCTCAGTGGTTTCCAGTCATTACACACTTTCGCTGTGACACGGGACAGGACAACCAGGAAAGTGGACAAAGCCACTAAATGCAGAAAACCTGACTCTTGATAAAGTGATGTTTTTGAGCAAAGACCTTGATCACAAGGGGGAAATGTGAAAATAAAAGAAACCTCATTTAAGAATGGAGTCGGGAAGCCCTGGAGAGGGGGTTGCTCACACGCACACCACTTGTAGCCTGCACAACCAGCAGCAGTAAAGAAGGTAAGAATGATCTCAACAAGGGAGGACATACTTCACATAGGAATTTTATCTCCTGCTTTTAAGAAAAGGAAGGAAGAGCTCCAGCAATAATGCACTAACCACCTCCTATAGCCAATGGAGAAACCACTGTGCAAAAACCACTACAACCTTGAACTCTTGTTCTTCTCCAATACACTTTTGTTTAAACTCTCCCCAGTTTCCTCCTAAAACCTAAGGAAAGCTGACCTTCCCTTTGTCTCTTCCAACTTGCCAGAATTCACCATAGCTTGCCTGTCCCAAATTTGCTCTGTTTAAAGTTAACAAATTTATGGTCTTAGTTGGAGAGCAAATATATATATAATTATACATATATATACGTATATTTCTTCTATCAGAAACAGCCAGATGGAAGAGATACATAGAGCAAGGTATGTGGAAAGGGGTATGGAGTCTCCATGTTCTCCGAGCACACCACTCTCCTCAAATCTCCATGTGTTCACCAAACTGGAGCTCCCCAAATCCCATCCTTCTGGGCTTTTATGGAGACTTCATTACACAGGCTTGGTTGATTAAATCACTGGGCACTGCCCATTGATTCAACCTCCAGCCCCTCTTCCCTGGGAGCATGGGGGAGGTAGGTGGGACTGAAAGTTCCAACCCTTTAATCATATGATTGGTGTGTGTGCACGTGGGAACCAGCCCCCACCCAAAGGTTACCTAGGGGCTTCCCAAAAGTTACTCCATCAACCTAACAAAAGACACCTTGCTCACTCTCACACTTCGGAAATACCAAGGGTTTTACCTCTCTGCCAAGAACAGGACAAAGACTTAACATTTACTTCTTATTATAAATCACAATCACAGCCTGTTATGTAAGTCCTGTTTACCACTTCTCCAGCTTCTCCCAGGTTGCTCTCTATGCCTTAGGGCTAGCTCTGTACAAGTTCTGACTTTGATCTAGAATATTTCTCCTGTCCATGTATGTCCCCGCTCACTTGGCTAACTCCTAGTATCGTTTAAGGCTCTGCTTATTTAAATATCCCTTCATTCTTGTGGCGCCTGGGTGGCTCAGTTGGTTAAGCGACTGCCTTCGGCTCAGGTCATGAGCCTGGAGTCCCTGGATCGAGTCCCGCATCGGGCTCCCTGCTTAGCGGGGAGCCTGCTTCTCCCTCTAACCCTCCCCCCTCTCATGTACTCTCTCTCTCTCATTCTC